GGGAGCACAGCTATATTCGGTCAGCATTCAGAGCTCCTGCCTCAACCTCTAGAGGTCCAGCAGTCTAGGCTGGGCTGGGCAGAGAGCCAGAGAAGGCGGGAGAGAGGAAAAGGAGGGTTACTGGAAAGCTGGCTAATCTCAGAGTTGCAAATGGGGTGGATTCTGAGCACAGATGCATCTTGTTTGGCCTACCTGGTACTTTAAATCAGGAGATCTTGGCACTGGTGGGTAGGAGTTAAGTAGTACTGTCCATTTAGGGGGGGCACACAACATCTATTTTGCACCTCTTACACCCTGTCTGCCTCATCTGTGTCCCTGATAGCACCCAATTTTGCATCCTCCACTCTTAACAGACTCACTGAGCCTAACTGCTCTCTCAGCCTTCCAACGGGGTGCTGCTGGGGTAGGCTCCGAGTCCATCAGGGCACCAGGAAATAGGACGTAGTCTTGGGATTGAGCTGGAACAATGGGAGCATTTTGGGAAAGGACAGTTCAGTGGCACTCTGAGAGAACACTTCTCACTGGTTAGGACAGACACCTCCCTTGGCCTGCTTCTCTGAGCTTCTGCGTGTGCATGAGTGTGTGATTCTGTGTGTGATGTCAGGGTGCCTATGTGTGCATGTACATGTGCCCCACCAGGGGCATCACACCGAGCTCTCCCTGGAAAAACTGTTTGAGTGTAGGACTGGAGTCTCCATCTGTTGGACCCTTTGGATGCTTGCCATTGTGCATTCTGGAACTTTCTGAATGCCACCACTTGACTCAAGGGTCTTCTCTTGAGGGAGCTCCTTCTAGGACCAGGAGCCAGGCTGGGGCCAGGAAGGCCCAAGTGGGCAGAGTGGTGACACCCTGCCTCTATTTTGTATTTGCTTGGTGCTGGCTGAAGATGCGCCAGGAGGAGAAGACTAGCTACTTGATGGTGCAGACGAGCGAGGATGGGCTAGACACCGGCGGTGAGCACCCTGGACCACTCCTGATGCTGGCCCAGAACTGTGCTGTCATGCACAACCTGCTGGGCCCCGCCTGCATTTTCCTGCGCAAGGGTTTCGCCGAGAACAGGCAGCCTGTACGTAAGTTGGCTGATGGAGCACGCTGAACTTGGCTTCATTGGGCACGAGGAGGTACTGGGAAAAAGCAGGCTCTCTACCGCTTGAGCCACACCTCCAGTCCATATTATACAATTTTTTTGGTAGTACTGGTGCTTTATAGGCAGCGCTCTACCACTTGAGCCATGCCTTCAGCCCTGTACTGGGAAAAGGAAGGGTTCTGTAACAACAGTCCCCGTTCCCCAGTGGACACACCTCATCCCCCAACTTGTAAATTTTATCTTCCAAATTCCCTATGGTGACAAACCAAGTCCATATACATCAGCCAGAAATAATAACAGCACATAAAATTATTATTTTGTGGCAGCACTGGGGTTTGAACTCAGGGCCTTTAGCTTCCTAGACAGGCACTCTTACCACTTGAGCCACTCCACCAGCCCTTTTTTGTGTTGGGTATTTTCAAGATAGGGTCTCATGAACTCTTTGCCCTGGCTTTCTTCGAACCACAATCCTCCTGATCTCTGCCACCTGGTAACAGTTAAAATTCTTTGGAGCACTTATTTTGTGCTGGGCATTGTGCTAAGTGTGTTGGTGCATTGTCTCAGTTAAGCCTCAGTAACTCCAAGAGGTAGGTACTTTTACGACCCCCATTTTACAGATGAGGAAACTGTTCCCTGACTAATATGCTTGAAGTAACAGCTAGTAGATGGTAGAGGTAGGATTCAAACTTGGGTAGTCTTCTGTGCTCTTATCAAAATTCTGAAAAACAAACAAAAACCAATTCTGTACAAACAGCATGGTCCACTAGAACTTTCTATGATAACAGAATTCTAAATCTTTGCTGCTCAGGACAGTAGTCTCAGCCACATGTGGCTGTTGACCACTCAGAATGTGGCTTTATACAACTACAGAACTGAACTATGAAATTTTTCTTTGGTAGGTCTGGGATTTGAACTCAGGGTTTTGTGCTTGCAAAGCAGGCACTCTAACACTTGAGCTACAATTCTGGTCCATTTTGCTCTGGTTATTTTGGAGATGTAATCATACAAACTATTTGCCTGGGCTGGCCTCGATCCTCCCATCTCAGCTTCCCAAGTAGCTAGGATTACAGGCATGAGTCACTGGCGCCTGGATTGAATTATGAATTTTATTTCATTCTAACTTTGGTTCTGGGTAGCAAAACCAGGGCTTTGTGCATGTTAAGTATGCACTCTAAGCTACACCCAGTCCTCTAATTTGAATTTAGCGACATGTAGCCAGTGGCTCCTGTTTTGGACAGCAACCTAGAGGTGTCTGAATAATGACAGGGAGGAAGACAAGAAGGATGGTATTATAGATACAACCTTTGTAGCGCTGCATTTTATTGCCTTCACATGCCTTTTTAAAACATCCAGTCTCATGGAATGTTCACTTCCTGTGACGTAAGTCTTTATATCCTATAACAGATGAGGAGGCTGTGGCTCAAAACACAGCAGTGACTTGGCCAAGGTCTCACAGCTAGGAGGTAGCAGAAATCTGGGCTTTGTACTCAGGTCTATCTGACTCTGGGGCCCAACCTCTTTTCCCCACCTGCATAAATTGGGGGCAAAGAACTGTGTGTGTGCTCTATTCCATCTGGCCCCCTGAGCAGGTGCACACACCAGCCACAGGTGCTTCCCTACCATACCACCACACCAGTGAGCATCCCTCGCTGTACTCCAGAGCACAGTGTGCATATCCCCACTGCTCTGCATCAGAGTGGGGGGATGCGTCAGTGTGTGAGCCAAGGACCAGTCACAGACACAGGCACACTGTGAAGAGATGTCTGGCTTTACTGCTCCCTGGACTTTGGGAATACAGAGTGAAAGGGGCTGTGGTGTGGGTCCAAAGCACGCGTTCTCCCTCGTCCTGCAGAACTGAGCCATGGAGAAGTGGCAGCTGCTTGGAGCCTGGTGGGTGGAAAAGGACTTGTTGTAGCTAAGTAGCTGGTCCTCGTGAATAGACTTCACGTGTTCGTGTGCACACACATACAGTTGGCTGGCTCTCTATTTTCGCTGACTCCATAGCTCCCACATCTCTGGATTCAACCAACTGCAGGTCAAAAATATTTTTAAAAAATTGCATTGTACCTAACATTCACAGATTATTTTCTCTTGTCATTATTCCCTAAACAATGCAGTGTAGCAATTTTGTACATAGCATTTGCATTGTTTTAGGTAATATAAATCATCCAGAGAGGATTTAAAGAATACGGGAGGATGTGTGCAGGTTATATGCAAATAGTATACCATTTTACATAACTGACTTGAGCATCCTCAGAGTTTGGTACCCATGGAGGAGTCCTGGAACCAATCCCCCACCAATACTGAGGGATAACTATACTCACTCACTTTCACTTACTAATGGTAAAACACATTAAATAAAAACATCTTTTTTTGGTCACCCACCTGAGAAAGTCTAGGACCATATGGGTCCTTCTGGGAAATAGGAGTGACAGACCTTTGTGCCATGCACCGTGGCCAGCAGTACAGGGTTTTGAACTCAGGGCCTACACCTTCAGCCACTCCACCAGCCCTTTTTTGTGATGGGGTTTTTTGAGATAGGATTTCACAAACTATTTGCCCAGGCTGGCTTCAAACCGTGATCCTCCTGATCGCTACCTCCTGAGTAGCTAGGATTATAGGCGTGAGCCACCAGCGCCCATCTCTAACCAGCCTTTGAAGTGAAAGTCCTCCTCCAACATTGTATCCTGCAGATGAACATCCCTTCAGGCGACTTCTCTCCTCAGGGACAAATGCAGCTTACTGGGCCTAGGAGCCTGCATTCTGCTCCTTTTAAGCTCACACATACTTGTCAATGTCAGCAGCCCCTTCCCTTCCTACACGATTCTCAGACTCCATCATGCCTATATCCCCTGTCCTGGGGTCAGTGTGGAGTAGGTGGACAACTACAGTCTTCACCCACACTGACCCTGTTGGCTAGTACAGCCTGTGTGTCCAGCTGAGATGCTTCACGCTCATGGTGGCATGCCTGCATGTCTGTGAGCATCCTCCGGGAGGCCACACCTGCCTCATCTCCTTGCCCAAAAGCAGACAGCTGGAACACGGTGGGCTAGTTTGGGAGTCTGCTATCCAGGCCCAGCTGGATACCAATATCCTTTTCATGCCAGTCTGTCTTCCTGCTGGGCAGGCCTGGGGTGATGATACTCACCATGTTTCCTCTGGGCCTGCCCTTTGGAGACTTCTCTGCCATCTGTTCTGATGCCTGGACTCAGCGTTTCCTTGGCTCCCCAAGGAGACCTGGGCCCTACTGGAAGCTGGAGACAAGTGCTTTGGACCCTGGCAGCTGCCAGAGGCAGTGACAGTCCCCCAGAGTCCTATGCTGTGTCCTGTGACAGGGCAAGGTGTAGGGTTAGAGTCAAGTTGGGGAAGGTGGGGCACTGCCCAGGAAGCAGGGCACAGCCCCACTTCCGCCTCACATCCTCTGGTTCCTCCTTCCTCCCTCTGGGGCTGCCTGTGCAGTCCCTGCCTTCTCTTCTCCTTTAGCCCCTCTTCTCCCATTGCCTTGCAGCCTTGCAGGCTTCTGCTCCCTGGCTCCTCCCTGGTGGTATTCTCTCTGCAGTGACCTCCCCCCGTCCTGCTTTCTTTACAGGTTTTTGCCTCTGGACCAGCTCTGTTCTGATCCATTCCTGGGTCTGAAATAAGGGGCTGAGGGGGCAGAGGTTCTGTGCCCAGTCTGGGGGTGGGGGAATGTTGGATCCTTAGGCATCTCCTGTCAGGGGTCCAGGAACTTCCATGTCTATGGGATATGTGGAGCTGAACCTTTTCCCCTCAGTGACACGATCCAGACAAACCTCTGATCATTCCCATCACCTCCCACCCAGTGCCTGCTGCCACTCATAGTTTCCATTAGATGGGCATTTTGTGACTTCCAGGTCCCTTGCTGTCCCTAATAGGATATGTTCTTTTGTTTCAGGACAGATCACTACGACCAGAGGAGATCGAAGGTAAAACTTGACCCTCGGGGAAAGGGCTGTTCAGCCCTCCAGGAAGGTGTGGGAGGGAAGTTGGGGGGAAAAGAGGCAGAGACACCTTGGGCTCCTGGGACCAGGGCCTGGTTCAGGCCAGCCATTGGAGGAGTGAACCTGAAGCAAGCAAAAGGCCCTAGAATCCTGGAGGTCTAGAAGGTCCATCTCTTTAAGCTGGCTGGCCTGGGCTATCTTTGCCCCCACATGGTCTTACCTCCAACTACATCTACCTTTCTTTGCTTCCTCAGAACTCAGAGAGGCCTTTCGAGAATTTGACAAGGACAAGGACGGTTACATCAACTGCCGGGACCTGGGGAACTGCATGCGCACCATGGGGTACATGCCCACAGAAATGGAGCTCATTGAGCTGTCTCAGCAGATCAACATGAACTGTGAGTCCCTGGCCCAGCACCTCCTTCCCGTGTAGTCAGGCGGGCCTAGGTTCAAATTCTGCACCCACTTCTTTCCAGCTCTGTGTCCTGGTGCAAACCACTTACCCTTTCAGAGCCTCAGTTTCCACACCTGTAAAATGAAGGTTGTAATAGGGAAGTGGAGCACAGGAAGTAAGTTAGGGAACAGATTTCCAACAGCCCCAGGTCTGGCTCACAGCAAGAAATGATCAGAAGGATGCTTTTATAGTTTTTAGTCTTAATCTGGGTTCTCCTGAGACAGAGATCTGGATACAGCGAGGCGTTTGTTTGGTGGGGGAACAAAAGCATTGACAGGGCACAAGTAAGGTAGGAAGGGAAGGAGCACACACAGGGCGGGCTGTCAAAAGCTGCCACCGTGGGCAACTGGATCTGAGAGTGCCCACGTCTCTGTTCTCCCCCAGCCCCCACCTCTCCCTGTCCTGGCAGTCCCCGTTTGGAAGCTGTTGTGAGCAGGTGGGTGGGTGCCAGTCCTGTGGTCCTTCCACAGAACCACTTTGGAAGTTGGGATTGCACTTACACAGCAAGGGTAAGGCTTAGGATGTGTGAGCACCCACAGCTTCTGCTCCTCCCCACCTTCTTCTGAGATCTCAGGCTCTCCATCTCTGAAATTCTTTGTCTGGCTCTGTGACCCAGTGCTTCTTTCTCCCATCCACACTACCTCTTGTCCACCTTCTGGCCTGTTCCCTCCTTCAACCCCTGGCTGCTTGCTTCCCTGAGCTATTCTTTGCTAATTTTTTTTTTTTAGATTGGTGGTACTGGGGTTTGAACTCAGGGTCTCATGCTTGCTAGGTAGGTGTTCTACCACTTGAGCTACTCTGCCTGCTATTTTGTTATTGTTGTTGTTGGTACTGGGTTTGAACTTAGAGCCTCCTGCCTGCTAGACAGGTATTTTACCACTTCAGCCATGCCCCCAGCCTTCTCCTGAGCCATTATTTGACAAGCTACCTGTCTGTGGTCACCTCTGTGTCCTCATTTGGACCCTGAACCTAGAGGTGCACAGATCAAGGAGAGGTTGGCTGTCTCCAGTGTTGATAAGTTGGAGTTGGAGAATGGGTGGGTTCAGGGTGACCTAGCCCCTTCCTCTTGCTCCAGTGGGTGGCCATGTGGATTTTGATGACTTTGTGGAGCTGATGGGACCTAAACTCCTGGCGGAGACAGCAGATATGATTGGAGTAAAAGAGCTGCGAGATGCCTTTCGAGAGGTGAGTGATGGGAAATGACAGGTAGGGGGTGGGCAGGCTGTTGATCCCAATTCCAGGATGACTGCTTAAAAAGAAGCCTGAGCCCTGGGTCCCAGGCCAGGGGAGGGGAGGAATTCCAGGGAAGAGGGACACTGAGGTAAAGCTCAGCTTTTGTTCTGCTGCTGCCGGTCTCCATGTTATAGCTACCTCTTCTTCCTTCTTGCTCGCTCTAGTTTGACACCAATGGTGATGGGGAGATAAGCACGAGTGAGTTGCGAGAGGCCATGAGGAAGCTCCTGGGTCATCAGGTGGGACACCGAGACATAGAGGAAATTATCCGAGATGTGGATCTCAATGGGGATGGACGAGTAGACTTTGAAGGTAGGTGGGGCTCGAACTTGGGAGGGAAGCAAGCCAGCAGTGGCCATTCATGGAACCCTCCAACTGTGTATTCACCATGTAATCATCAATCCAACCCAACCCAAGGTGATAACCTTGCCCTTCCTTCCTCTCATCCCTCTGTGTACCCTCTAATCTACCTCTCATTCCTACACCCATCCATCTATCCATGCATCCATCCATATATCCATCTAAACATCCATTCATCCATACAGCCATCTACCTGTCCATCCATCTTTCTCCATCGTTTCATTCATCCATTCATCTCTTCATCTCTCCAGATGCCTATTTGTTCATTCATCATCTCTAAATAACCATCCATGCAAGCATCTACCATGCATTTATCTCTCCATGCATGCATCTGTTCATTTATCCATGCATTCACGTCCATGTATCCCACTCGCATTTCTCTACTTCCGTTCACACATTCATATGTCTCTTTCCATCTCCCTATACTTCTATTCATATCTCCATTGCTGTGCCCATGTGTCTCTTCAGCCATGTCCCCATCTACTCTAGATCCATCTATAAACCTGTGTTCCTATCTATCTCTGTCCATCTGTCTTTCCACCCGCTCATGATGGCAGCTATTTTCTGGACACCACATTCCTCAGCCTGACTTCAGTTTCTTAAAAAAAATTTTTCTTTTTTTGGTGGCACTGGGGTTTGAACCCAGGATCTCATACTTGCTAAGCAGAAGCTGTACCACTTGAACCACTCCACTAGCCCTGGTCCCTAAAATCTGACCACAGCTCACTTCCCCAGCATAGCTCTACTATTTCTTCACTTACACACCTCCAAAATGCTCTCGATCTGTGAACCTGCGAGACCCTCTTTTGGATCTGCTGTTCATTTTGCCAGTTGCCTTTTATTTTCTCCATGTGAGCTGAGTTTTAGTCATCCTCCAAGGTATAGCATTTCAGGTTCAGGACACTGAATGTCCCCCAACTGCTGGTGAAGTTCCACTTGACTCTGAAATTTGAGAGAAGAGAAACCCTGTTTTTTCTTTTTTTAAATCTCTGCATTTCCTACATAACTAAGCACATAGTTAATATTTGGTAAACTTTTCTTTAAAAGAATCAATTCTTAAAAGAAAAATGAAAAAAAAAAAATAAAATGTTTTTTCCAGAAAAAAAAACAAATAAAAGAATCAATTCTGATCATAATAATTACCATTTATTGTACATTTACTATATGCCCATCATTGTATTAAGTAGCTTTATTTACATTTATCTCATTTAATTCTCACAATGATTCTGTATACACTGTTATTACCTCATATTACAGATGAGGAAACTGAGGCTCAGAGAAGTCATACATTGCTTAACATTGGCTAATTATTCAGAGGCAGAGCTGGGGGCACAAACTCAGGCCTAGAATGTAATCCTGGCCATGACTCCATCGCAGGCACTATGGGCTACAGGAGAAAAGTAAAATGTTGACCTTGTACTGTGGTAACTTGCATTTTGAGCAGAAAGATGGCATAAACATGTGTCCGTGTGAGTGTGCCTAGAACACAAGGGTAGGGAGGTCCTTTCTGGGGAGCAGTCAGCCTCCAAGGGAGGAGAGAGAGTGTGAATGGATGGAGAGAAACCTTTGCTACCATTAGATCTAAAAATCTCAGGTCACCCTGTGTCCAGATGGTACTCACTGTTACTGACATGCATTCTACCAAGATGTGTTGTTTTCATACAGAGACCTTGTCCCTGCCGTGAGGAGCCAAGATCAGTGAGGAAAACAGAAAAGTGGTGTCATCTGTGCTGTGCTGGGGGGAGGTGGATCAGGCTGTGGAGTACAGAGTGGGCCAAGGAGTACAGAAGGTGCCAAGCAGGGGGCACGATTAGGGAAGACTTCCTGGAGGAGGTTATAAATGAATGAAGCCCTAAAATATGAGTAGAAGTCACCAGATGAAAAAGAAAGGAGGGGGCATTTATCTGAATGAGTGAAAGCTTATGTCCACATGGAAACTTGCACATGGATGTTTATAGTAGCTTTAGTCACAGCTGACAAAATTTGAAAGCAAAGCACCCTTTGGTAGATAAATAAATAAACTGGGGCATATCCAGACAATGGAATATTATTCAGTACTAAAAAGGAATGACCTATGAAGCCATGAAAAGACACAGAGAGACCTTAAATGCAGATTACTAAGTGAAAGAAGCCAATCCAAAAAGGCTACATACAGTATGTATGAGGGAGACAATGAAAAGATCAGAGGTTGCCAGGAGTTGGAGGAAAGAGAGGGATAAAACGGCAGAGCACAGAGGATTTAGGGCAGTGAAACTACTCTGTGTGACACCAAAATAGTGGAGCTATGTCATCATATTTGTCCAAACCCATAAAATGTACTGCACCAAGAGTGAGCCCTAAATTGGGTGTGGTGGTGCATGTCTGTAATCTCAGCTACCTGGGAGGCTGTGGCAGGAGGATTGCCTGAGCAACTGAGTGAGATCCTGTCTCAAAATAAAACTGAAAAACCGGGCTGGGAATGTGGCTCAGTGGTAGAGTTGCTTGTCTAGCATGTGCTTGGCCCTGGGTTCAGTCCCCTGGATTCATGGATTCAAATGTGCCACTCCGCCGTGAGATGTTAATGGTGGGGGAAGGTATATGGGGGAGGGGGTGTAAGGGAAAAAAAATCTCTGTACCTTCCAATCAATTCTTTCTCTGTGTGTGTGTGTGTGCATTCAGTACTGGGACTTGAACCCAGTGCTTACACCTTGAGCCACTCCACCAGCCCTTTTTTGTAATGGTTTTTTTCGAGATAGGGTCTCTCGAACTATTTGCCCGGGCTGGCTTCGAACTGAGATCCTCTTGATCTCTGCCTTCTGAGTAGCTAGGATAACAGGCATGAGCCATCATCGGTGGCACCGGACTGCTCTTAATTTTGCTACGAAACTAAATTACTTAATTAAAAAGTGTTGGAGTGGCTCAAATCGTAGAGCACCTGCCTAGCAAGCATGAAGACCCTGAGTTTCAGCCCCAGTGCAGCCCAAAAAAAGGAACAAAAAAGCGTTGGGAAAAACAAACAAACAAAAAACAGAAGGGAAGGGGACAGGTTGCGGGGTGGGGGTGGGGGAAGGCGAGACAGGAGGACAGCGCATGCGTGAGCGCAAACTCTCTGCACCCAGAAAAATGAGCTCTGGAGATAGAGAGAGGGGGCGAGAAATGTCAGGCCGGGTCAGATCGGTGAGGCCCCTGAGGCTGTCAGGGCCCTGGACACACCAATGACCTGCTGTGGGCCGTTTAAGCAGCAGATGGGTTGGAGAGGCAGAGTGGATGTGGGGGGGCCAGCGCAGTGGCTATGGGGAGGGAGGTCTGGAGTGGCGATGGGGAGGGGGGCTGGACCCTGATGGCCGCTGGACTCCTGTGCCCTCCCAGAGTTTGTCCGGATGATGTCCCGCTGAGGCTTCGAGGGCCCCTCCAGGACTGTCACGCTCCCCAGGCGGGGAGAAGAGGAGCCGCAGCTCGCCTCGCCCGCCCGCCGTAGCCGCCGAGAGCCCAGGACGTGCGGTGGCGGACGGGGCCTGCCTGCACCCCGGGGAGGTGCCCACCCCGGACCCCCACCCCTCCGCACTGTGAAAGACTCACAACTCCTGCAACTGGAAAGGGGGCGCCCGCCGCCGGGGAGGCCGCAGTGCCAAGCCGGCAGTCATGCCAGGCGCTAAGTGCCATGTGCCCAGCCCGCTGCTGGCTGGCTGGGGCGGCCAGGGAGCCCGCCAGCAGACCCCACACAGCATGTCTGCCCCGGGGGGAAAGCCTCCAGCTGCCCTCCTTAGCTCTACGCCTGTCCCAGCTCGCCCCAGCCCTGTGATCTCAGATCAATAAAAACACTTCCAAGTGAACCACAGCCAGGGTGTGCTTTGCTTCTTGGGCCTGGTTGGATGATGCACGTGTTTCCTGAGCTCCACCTGCATGCACTCAACCTGCATTTATTGAGTACCTAATATATGCCCAGTAACTTCCATTCCACAGGCCAAAACTTGGTGCCTCTCACCAAGAGGGAGACTGAGGAATGTGATTCTTTGGCTGGAGACACAGCTGCCCCAAACAAAACCATGTTCCATTTGGAAAGGATGACTAGTAAAACAGCATCCAGCAGGGCTCTACTACTTCCTGACTTCCTGGAGCTTTCATACTGGCCAGGGAGACAGACATGACGTAAACACATCCGTATATGATTACAAATGGGAACACTGGTGTGAAAGAAGGCAGCGACCTTCAGCAGGGGATAATAAGAGGCTGGCTTGCTCTAGGGAAGTCAGGGAGGCTTTCCTGAGGAAGTAATGTCAAGGGCTTTGCCCTGGAGGAAATCCTAGAGTGTGCAAGGAGACAGATGTCAAAACAGCTGTGATCTCCGCTGAGGTGGGAAGCGGATGTATAATAGTTAGGACCGGGGTTTGCTTGCTGTGTGACTTTGGGCCAGTCAAGTGCCCTCTCTGAACTTGGTGTTTTTTTTTTTTTCCTCGTGTAATAAAAGACGGGATCAGTATGGAGTACTGTGGACTTCTGGGGCTGCCATTTGCAGATTGCGGTGGAATTGTGCAATCAGCAATAAACAATAGATCCACTGTAATCACTGCAATTAATTTTTACAAGTGAAGGGAAGGAGCCTGTAGAAGTTTGTGGGTAGAAGTTGCCTAGAAACTTGAGCAGGCTTGGTGCACACTTGAGCATGTGTGTAGAGAAGCTGTGGACTCCATGCCATTGGTTCTTTATTTTAGCATGAGGAAGAATCACCTGGAGGATTTGTTATGGGTCCCACCCAACTGGGCAATTCTGATTCCATCTTTGGGGTGGAGCCCATGAATCTGCCTTACTAACAAGTTCCCAGAAGATGCTAATACTGCCTGTCCACAGACCACAGTTGGAAGAAATCCACCTTATATGTCCCAGACACGTGGGAGGCAGGTGCACTTCAGGAAGCTGGGCAGGCAGTGGGGAAAAAAGGCTGAATGGAGGGCGTGGGGCAGGCTGAGCGGCTGTCGACCCTCTCCACCCCTGCCCTGCAGCAGAGGTCTGCACCTCAGACCTGGCAGGGAATGTGGGAAGGACTGTGGGTCCCAGCCAGAAGCCTGGGTAATCCCCCTGTCTTAGAGGCCAGTGGGACTGGAGCTTCAAATTCACTCCAATAATCCAATTCCGATACTAAGCTGTTGGCCCAGTGCCTCGCCAGGCAGGCCTGGAGCCCAGTCTGCCCTGCTGCTGGTTCAGCTCTGCCTGAAGACTTCAGATCTGCACTGTTTCAGAAATGAAATGGCTTTGGAGGGCAATCTGTAGAAAGAGAGCCTTTGTAGACATCTCTTACAACTGGCAGGGTGGTTCCTGGGGCACTATTAGAAGAGGGTGGAGTCAGTGGTAAGTTAGGATGCTTCTGTCCCCAGAGTGTGACCTCCCAAAGCTAGAGGCATGGCCTCTGTGATAAAGGGGCTTGAGAATATAGATGGGCCACTGTTCAGAGCAATGTCAGTGCTCAGGCTAAAGGAGATGCAGACGCTGGGCCTCAGCCTCCTCTGCTTCCAAGGCTAGAACTCCTCCCTTCTTTGCCTTGTCTTGTGTTTTAGGCCTCCCAGTAAGATTGTGGGAAGAAAGGGTTCTGTAACTTTTCAAGAACTGAAATGCATTTGACTCGGTGGGATTTTTTTTCTGTTCCCCAAACCACTTGTTCTAGTACCTCTCCTGGTGGGAGCCCTGTTGATCATCTTTAGAAGAGACCTTCTTGCTGGAGAGGTCTTTTTTTTTTTTTTTTTTGTGGTCCTGGGGCTTGAACTCAGGGCCTTCACCTTGAGCCATTCTGCCAGCTCTTTTTGTGATGGGTATTTTTGAGATAGGGTCTCAAACTATTTGTTCAGGCTGGCTTAGAACTGTGATCCACCTGATCTCTGCTTCCTAAGTAGCTATGATTACAGGTGTGAGCCACCGGTGCCCGGCCTAGAAAGGTCTTAAACTGAGCCTAGATGTGTCTCCTTGGAACTTTGAAAGTCCAGTTATCCCATTCACATGCTCAACTGATAATTATTTATCAGGGCTGGAGATGGAACCCAGAGCTCTGCGAATGCTAGGCAAGCACTCTCCCCCTGAGCTACATCCCCAGCCTTTCCTGATATCCCTGTTCTCAAGGAGCTTTGACTGTAGTAGGGGAAACAGACAAGAAAACAGACAAATGTAGGGTAGGCTTGAAGTATAGGCACCCATTCCAATCTGGCAGGGTGAGGGTGGGGTAGAAGAACAGATTTGCTCAGACCTGACAGATCAGCGTGCTTAGTCAGAAGCAGTGGGTGGAAGAATGGTTATGGTCCAGGGAACAGCGTGTGCAACGGCCCTGAGGTAAGGGAGAGCTTGTCAGCTGAGAGAACCTCAGCAGAATTCCATCTGTCGGGCGTACTGGGCTGGAGGGAGGAGCAGAGAGCGGTGACACTCAAATGCAGACCTTGGAGTGTGGAGAGGCTCTGGGAGGACCTCTGAGCACTTGGCTTCGGGAGGGAGGCTGAGGCTAGAGGATTGTTAAATTTGAGGCCAGCCTGGGCCTCAAATAAACAACAATGCTTCCCAGACTACTCAAGATCGTGGTTTCCATCCCCAGCACCAAAATAAATAAAATAAAATACTTAAAGTTATCAAGATTTTTTTTTTAATGGTCCAACTTGTCAGGCATGCATGCATGCACACCTGTAATCCCAGCATTCAAGGGTCTGGAGTTCAAGGTCAGCCCAGACTACAAGAGAGACCCTGTCTCAAAAAAAGATTTAAAAAAAGAAGTCAGAATAGCAGTTGTTTTTAGAGATGGAGGAGGGGAAGAGAGGGCTTTCCAGAGTGTTGTTAAAGTTCTATGTTTTCTTCTTTTTTATTTTTTTTTGGGGGGTAGTGGAGTTTGAACTCAGGGCCTACACCTTGAGCCACTCCACCAGCCCTTTTTTGTGATGAGTTTTTTCAAGATAGGGTCTCATGAACTGTTTCCTCAGGCTGGCTTCGAACCTCCATCCTCCTGCTCTCTGCTTCCTGAGTAGCTGGGATTACAGACGTGAGCACTGGTGCCTGCAAAATTCTACTTTTTGACCTTGCTAAGTGAAAAAGGACAGCCCCAAGGGTGTTTATCTTATTATAACTCACTAAGTTGTCTGCTTGTCCTGTGTGGTTTTATGTTTGTCTTGTTTTACAATAAAAACGCTAAAAACAAAAACAAAACGGAAATCCAGTGTGGACTCAGTTACCTAGGTTCAAATCCCAGCTCTGGCACTTAAGAACTATGTCACCTGAGAAAATTATCCAGGATAAGACCCTTTGGGTATCAGTTTCCTCCATCCATAAAATGGGGATGATGTTAATAAGGTTGTTTTGAAAATTAAACAAATTAATACAGCTGCCCTCCCCCTACCCTCAGTTTCAACCCACCATGAATTGAAAATATTTTAGAAAATAAAATTGGATCTGTACTGAACATAGTTTTTTTCTTGTCATTAGTCCCTAATATAGTATAACATTGACAGACTTTTTTTCTTGTCATTAGTTCCTAAGCAATACAGTATACCAACTATTTACACAGCATTTGGGTTAGGTAGTAAAGCAATCTGGAGATGATTAAAGTATACAAGTTCTGTGCAAATACAATGCCATTTTATAGGATTGACGTGAGCATCATCTTAGATCTTAGTATCTGTGGGGGTCCTGAGGCCCATTCCCCGCGGATACCGAGGGACAACTGTAGACTGGAAGCCCTACAGCAAGCATGATTTGTTCTTGCTGCTGCTGTTTGTTATTGTCGGTGCTCCCTCCCTCTCCTGTGACATGCCCTCATGTCTCAGATTCCCTCTCGAGGAACAAGGCTGGAAAGTCAAGTCAGGCACTGCATTCCTCAGCGCCTGTGCCAGCACCTCTCATTGTGACAGTGACAAGATAATCAGTTTAAATCTGGGACCTGGCTCAATGACCAGGGAGTGACTGCCTGCGCACCATGCCATGTGGTTCTGCTGCGCCATCCCGTTCAGGTCACAAGTCTGGTATGTCCCTTCACTCCCTGCACCGACTGGGCTCCTGCTTTCTGGCTGATGGCTGTCTTTTCTAGAGGGGGGACAGAGGCTCTGAGCATCAGGATCAAGACCCAGGTTTTGGTGTTAACGAGTATCTGGGTTCCCACCCCAGCTCTGCCACTTCAGGGAAAGGCGTGTGTGTTGAGCAGGTATGTGTTGCGGAAGTTCTTCTTCCTCCTCAGCCTCTTTCCCCATTATTAGTGATAATAACTGCTCCCCCCAGGTGCGTGGTTGTGAAGAAATAGCCTATGTGATGCTTGGTAGAGGGGCTGGCTCAGGGTCTCTACACGTTCTGTTCCCTCTGTGTGGAATGCTTTTCTTTCTACTCTTTGAATAGCTAGCTCCTTCTCATTTGTTGGAGCTGGGCTAAATGTTTCCCTTGTGATTTATCTATGGAAGGAAGGAAGCCACCATCACATCTCGTTTTTATTCTTCAGAGCACACATGCAAGGTTATGACCTGACATATTTATTATATTATAGTCATTATAATATATATCACAACATATATATATATTATAGTCATTTCAATA